ACTGCAGCAGGTACTAATTTGAGGCAGAGTCAACCTAGGAGAGGCCCAGGACTGGATCAGATAACCATCACTGGTGTTGGTCGTGAGAACACACATACACACATGGAAGTTTGTGTGATGAGAGAGTGCCCCTGGTCGGCTCGGTGTGACGGCAGGGCGAGCATGCTGGTGTCACCGCACATGACTCGGATGACCCTCGGCACTACGCTGAATACCCATTGGCTGTGAGGGGTTTGTGGCACGAGTCACGAGATCTTAACGGGCCGTGAAGACTTCTAGACTATCGGCAGTTGATTTACAAAGGTAACCCTGAAGAGTCACAAACACAATTTAGGGCCTTATTCATCGAAATTAAAATCGACTACAATTAAACTGGGTTGGAATTATATTTGCCACGGTAAATAACCACCCCAGTGGTAAAGGTTACCTTAATGGCACTTATTTTAACAGAGCGAGCGTCACCGTGTACGCTTTGGGAGACGAGCCGGGGGGGGGGGGGATCGTGCCCGCAGCGGTGCAGAGCAGTGGGGAGGAGCAAGCGTCTAGATCCGCCTCTGCGTGCCTTGGACCTGGCTATGGGCAGAGCACCTCATAAATGAACGTGGAGACCAGAGTGGAAACGTCCACGGGAGGGGAGTCTGCATGCGCTTAGGCTCATGGTTGTGGTGAGGGGAGAGGGGGGGGAGCACACGGCCCCCACAGGTGTGATGCTTCGGATACACTCACAGAGGCTGTGTCAGTGTCGACTCCTCAACAACAACTTTCAAACTCATTTGTATAATCAGATGACAAATTGCACCCTATCGATGCCACATGTTAAAACTAAACTATTTTTCTTATTTTACCAAGTAAGACCCACTAAGTTATATAGATATTTTTCAGAAGCGACCTGACTTTCACAAATGATAGCTCAAGTGGCTCATCATCATGCGGAAACTATAGCAGCCAAATACTCTAAACGCACATTGATTCTAAATGTTGAGGGAAAAACCGGAGAACCCGAAGAAAATTGACGCGACCAAAGGGATATGTAAACTCTAAATATACAGGCGCCAGGGTCGGAATAGAACCGATGACTGCGTACATACCAGGCGAGGTAGTTAACATCTTGCCACCGTGGCGCTCATTAGCATCCAGCATTGAAGATGTTAACACGCAGTATGGAACCGCACTGAGGATTGTGTTACTGCCCGTGTCCCGCAGTCTCACAGTGTGTTCTACGCGAGTCTCTTCCAAGAGACGTGGAAAGCAAATTGGTGATTAATAATATTGCTGGTGTAACCACAGCACCAAGCACAGTTATGGATCGTTATTTATTTATTCATGTAATAACAACGCTTGTTTACACAGCAAAGGCCTCACGCCTCTCCTACAGGAGGTTCCTGCCAGGTTTTCATGATGGGGTGGGGAGCAGGCGGTGTGGTTGTTGCTGTTGTGTGTGTGATGTTTGGCCGATACTGGTTACATTCTGTGTGGTTTGTTTTTAGCTATGGGAGGAAAGCGGAGAGCCTAGAGGAATCCCATTCAGAGCAGGGGGAGAATCACACAGATTCCTCACAGAGAGGCACCCGAGTGGGGAATCAAAACCAGGAACTTGTTGCTGTGAGGCACGGGGGTGTTACCACTGCGCCACCCTGCTGCCTTTAATGCCCACGTTGTGTTTAATGTCTCTTGAAATAGACTTGTTTATGATACACGGTGTGAGACTGCATGACGCACGTAGTCCCACAATACTAAGTGTGTTCACTTGCCCGAGTATAACAGCACGTCAACTGAAATACATCGATGCATTTGTCTATATTACAATAAATTTGGATTGTGAAAGGTGCTCTGTGTGATAACATTACCGCAGGCTAGCTGATCTCATCATCTGATATAAGTTCATACCTTCACTTAACATGCACAAAATGTTTATAATTTAAATATGATGCTAAGGCTTGATTAGTTATTCTTTCCGTAAGTTTACAAATTTAATAATTAGTGTGAAATGTATGTTTCCTCATTAACTGTGTAAGATATTACTATTCACTGTCAGGTCACACAAGTGTAGCATTGAACAGTTGCAAAGTTAGAAGTCACCTTCAGGTTTTTACACCTTTGTTAGTGACAGTGTGGAGGAAATATAATTTAAACGTTTGATGAACTTGTATCACATTAAAGTGATATGTGGGCAAGAGGGTGGCACAATGTCCTGGGTTGAATTCCCAAATCGGGTGTCTTTCTGCATGGAGTTAGCCTGTTTTCCTCCTGTTCTGCCCGGTGCGAGAGTGTGAAAGTGAGTGGTGGGCAGCGGTAGTGCAGAGGTTAGCGCCCTGCGCTATGAACCGGGCGACTTGAGTTCGATTCCCACTCGTGCCCATATAATATGGTAGTGCTGAATATTTGAACCGGTCTTGGGCCTCTCCTAGGTTGACTCAGCCTTATTTGAGTACTGTTTGTAAATATAAGTCTTAATTTATTGACTTTTCTCCTCCCAGGTAAGGCTCTTTTTTCAGAACATCAGCACTGGGGGTCTTTATGAGTGTTAGTATTGTCTTTCCCTGTTCTGCATGGGTTTCCTCTGGGTTCACCAATTTCCACCTACAGCAAAGATCCCAGTGCTTAAAAATCACCTGAAAATGACTCAATTGGGATAACTAAGTGGTAACATCGCCTTGCAACTGCGAAGACTTGACAGGACCCTCCTGAAAAAAAGTGTCTTACAACTCACCGATGCTTTTCTTGAGAAACACGGTCAACGATCGCAATGATGTGTGATACATAAAATCAAACTATGGACCACACATTGAGCCACTGCAGTCTGTGCTCCTTCTAGGGAGGAGGAACATCAAAACTACACGAACTCTCTCTCCTGAAGCACTCTCGTGGCAAGCGCACTACGGCATTGACAATCAGCTTCTGGACGTATCGCTTCCATCGTGCGCAGTAGAATATAATGGGACAATTAATTAATTCAATGGTGCACACCGCCGGTTCATGTACACGTTACAACTGGAGTATATTCTATATAAGCCGGCGGTGTGCCTGTAGCTCCATTTAAGTGCATCTTTTGCTAAGCCGTTCATCCAGTATGATATTAATAATAAAGAAAACAGCTCACATTTGTGACCAAACTGTTGACAACTAGTGAACGGTAGACATCAAAAAGCTATCACTCTCAAATCACTACCACGGGCAGGTCGCAGGAACGGAGCTGTCGTCGTGCATGCTGGGTTCCCCGCACCAGCCAGGGAATTGTTTCCTTGGGAGTCCGATGCTGGCGAATCGGTGCATTTCTTGCCCAACAGTTGCTGCCGTCGCATGCATTGCAATTATTTTTATAATGACATAATTATTCCACTCGTTTACCCAGGAAAGTCTCTGTGAGTCCCATCACTCTTTTCCAGGAGGGTCCTTGTCAAGTGTTCGCAGTCGGGGGGTGATGTTGCTGCTGCTGGTGTCCGATCCCAATTGAGTAATTTGCAGCTAATTAGTCAGCATTGGGTTGTTCGGCCAATACCAGTTGGATGGTATGTTTTTTTTAGCTTTTTCAGTAATGTTTCAAATAAATATGAATACACCAACGGTTCATAAATACAACGACTAATCACGCACTCACGGACACCTGTCCAGATTGTCTGTGATTTTCAAAAAAGTCTGTTTCTTGCTTTTAACAAGAAAAACATCTAGAAGCACAAAGGGAAATTAATGTTCTCTGTTTTACACATGCACAGGTGTACAGTGTATGGTTTGTCAAACGCTCGTATGTGTTGTCATAATATTATTTTAAATAATTACGAGCTATAATATAGAAACATATACTTGTTTAACTGCAGTACGTTGCTGAAAATCCACATTCACAAGGCCTACCATGTACGTTTCAATTACTCAACTCTCAGCTTAATAATGTACCCACGAACTAAATTACAGACTGTATTGGGAAACACAACAATACAAATGCCTGCTTAAAAATCCGTATTGTTCCTACGGTTTTGCTCACAAAAGACAACACATCTCAGCATGCAGCCACCTTCTTTCAATAACAGCTATTTAATCCAGTGTCCATTATTTGCCTTTGCTGAATGCACGTTCTAATGCTTTGTGCAAATGACACATCTCGAACAAACCCATGATGACCAATTTGGAATCCGGGTAAAACATGCATTTTTTTTATTGTGCAAACCAAATAGCCGCATAAGTTTCTTCCTTCAATATTCTGAATGCTTTTAGGAAACGTCATTGCAGGTGACAATGCTTGCGTGCATGCCCCAACGTAGAGAGGGGGCTTTTATTTCATTTTTATGTGTACATGTGCGGTGGTGGCACAGTGATTTTCACACAACACCACTATTCAGGTGACCGAGGTTCAATTCCTAGCCATGGATAACTTCAGAAGCAAGCGATATCTCAGCCTGTCATTTTGGTGACCCAGATCACTCTTGCGAATGAGGCTTGTCCTTGTCTCTCCGGTTCTCTCCTGGTTCAATGATAACTTTGATCATGAAACCTATCCTCGGCCCTGCACTGGATTAACCTAAATTAGTACTTGTTGCAGCATGCATACATCAGAACTCGGGTGACAAAGGCAGCCGGGTGTGGTTTTGGTCACACCGCCCCTCATGTGCCACGCCACCTTTAGTGGTTGCCACCTGTCTGGACAGTCCAGGAATTGGCATCTGTGTTTGGGCCGCCGGAATCGATTCATAGCGAGATCCGGTACTGGTGTGCTGTTGGATTCCATTGCAGTGGACTGCACAGTATTGATAACAGACCTAGGCTGGCTGGGAAATATGTTGCGGCTTTGCCCCATGGAAAAGCTAGCAACCCTATATACAGTTTATAAGGATAAATATGGGGGCCCTGTGCTTTTGTGTGGAGCGAGTAGGCCAGGTGTGATGCTGGCTACACCACCCCCTCACGCGCCATGCCGACCTCAAAAGATGCTCAGCGGCGGCCACAGTTGGTCCTTGGCCCTGGTGGGGCAAGCAAGGAGTGGGGGGGGGGGGTGGTGCGGTGCGTACCCTCTCATTGAGGCAGTGGTTGATCCCCACGGCGAGGGAGAGCTTGCCGTCGGAGGAGCGCGACGACTCGTGAGCGCCGCCGCGGCCCAGGCCCTCGTGCTCGCCCAGGAAGGACGTGGGGTGCAGCGACGACAGCACATCTGCAGCACGCGGTGGTGGCAGCAGCAGCAGTAGCGCATGCTGTTGTTACGTGAGGTCACAAGCGGGTCACGCCCAGTCACCGGCAAAACGTACTTTTCTGCTCGTTTTTGTGGCTTGTTTATTCACGCAGTTGCTGAGTACCAGGCTTAACGGCCCAAAGTGTCAAGCGGCCAGTGACAACCAGCACAATCGTCAGCGTTGTAACAGATAAAGAGTGTAATACGTTTCTTGATTTTTGAGCGAGGTTATTATTTTAAGGGCTTTGGGAAAAGAGACGATGATGGAGGAGGGAATTTAAACAGTGGAGCAGAGAGAGAAGTGAGGGGACCTGTAGTGTGGTGAGTGGGTGGTGAGTGTGTGGTGAGTGCGTTATTATGTTGCTGTGATCTGAAGTGTGGTGAGTGGGTGGTGAGTGTGTGAGTGCGTTAGTGTGTTGCTGTGATCTGAAGTGTGGTGAGTGGGTGGTGAGTGTGTGAGTGCGTTAGTGTGTTGCTGTTACCTGCAGTGTGGTGAGTGAATGGTGAGTGTGTGAGTGCGTTAGTGTGTTGCTGTGATCTGAAGTGTGGTGAGTGGGTGGTGAGTGCGTGAGTGCATTAGTATGTTCCTGTTACCTGCAGTGTGGTGAGTGGGTGGTGAGAGCGTTAGTGTGTTGATGTGACCCGCAATGGATGAGGTGAAACAGCCTGGTATCGTCAACATCGGAGGAGAAATCAATGAGTGAAGTTCACAGGAATTGTAACCGTGGTAATAGTGATAGAAGAGTGTTAAGAAGGTGACTGGCCACTGGTGAGCGAATGACTAACTGCATACTGCACAAGAACGTTCTGTATTATGACAAATCTGTGTGTGTACGGTATTTGATGTGCGCTATTATATTGTTTATCTATATCCAGTAAAGTGTATCTACGCTTCCTTCAGTGATGCATAATTTATTTCAATTGTTTACCTCACTTGCGCATTTCCAGTGCCTAAGGCAGAATTTAATCGGTTCAGGCGTCAGGCAGAAAACAACACAAAACGCTGACACAGTCAAGCGTTTGGATCGCTGGGTACACACCGACTCGCAATCGCACACAAACAGTGTCGACATCCCTCGACTACGGCGTCCTGTACCGTGAGCCACCTTGTATCGCATACTGAGGCAAGAGAAAACTGAGCACCAGCCTGAGCAATAATGACCAATACTCCACCAGGTATTCATTTAAACTAAACTATTTTTTTTGACCAGGTAAGGCCCACTGAGTTCAATAGCTCTTTTTTCAGAAGTGACCTTGCCACAAATGATAGCTCAACGAAGTGGCTTATCACGTGCAAATTGATATCAGCCAAATACTCTCAATGCATGTTTCTAAATGTGGATGGAAAAAAAAAATTCCACGAGCGCCCGGCAATGAATCCAGGTGGTGTGGCACTGGAGTGCAGTGCTCACCATCGTGCCACTGCTCCCTTCACGTTTTGTGTATACAGCATACGAACCACACTGTGGCTCGGTGGGAGACCGTGCGGCTCGCAATCGGAATGGTTGCAAGCTCAAAATCCTATTTGGTTTTTTGACTTGGTCCGTCACTGCCCCGGGGTCGATAAAACAAGTATTGCTTCTTGGGAATGTCAACAGTTGTTTGCCTCGGGAAGGCAGGACAAGACTTGCCCCTGCCATATGAATGTGGAATTTGAACCACTTGCTCATGGCTGTGAATGGAAAATGAGCACCGCCTCAATGCTGATCTGAGCAGGAAATTCCTTTGACTCTGAGATGCGCGCACAGGTGCAACGTCGCCTCTGTTGAATGGGAAGCACGCCACCTTCTCGTCAGGAGCAGCACATCCCACAGGCTAAAACAGCGTGAACAAGAGGGCCTATGATGTCGGACGAGAGCGAGCCTTTTTCTCTTTCTCGCACGCGCTTGCTGCGCCCGCTCGCTCGCCCGCCTCAAGTTTACACAATCTCGGCGCTGTTCAGAGTGTGTCCGTTCCGGCTGCCTGCCGAGGTGAGCCTCACCCATTACCGGCACACACACACACACAAAACCCATACTACAAAGGCGTGCAGTGGGTTTTAGAGGGGCCTTGCTACAGTCAGGACGCGCGTGAATCCCGCACCCTTCAAAGCCTTTGTCACCACGACCAGACGCTCCTCAGAAGCGCAGAAAGCCAAACATTTGTACTACAAAGGACGACGGGGGCTCAGATTTGCTGAAGTGCTCGTTTGAAGCGTCCAAAAACAAAGCAAAGCAAAATGGTAAGGGAAGCAACTTCAAAAGTCCTGTCAGGTTTGCTTAACATTGTATCAAAGTACATCTGTTTGCAATGAAGCTTTCTGCGGGTAGGTTCATTAATTTCTACAGAACAAGCAGCCGCGCAATTCCAAATAATTTCGCTTGATTTTCGGTTGTTTGTCAGAGGCATTTGCGAAGAAGAACCGGAAATTTTTTTTTAAGATATCAATCATGAAATAAAAATAGAGGTGTCGATAAAATGAAACAGGTATGCGCTCATTTAAAAGTGTATTCCAAACAGATGTTCCTGAGGTTTTTTTTATTTTTATTTAAGTAACACGTTTTGTTGTCGTACATCAATTTAACGTGCACAATTTATTAAATGCTTACCATTAATAAAAATCCAGAGCTGAAGTCTATGAGCTCATGAATTTATACAAGCATAGATCTGTGCGCAACGCAATAACGTGAACTCTGCATGTGCATGCGATGAAAGTCGCTTAATCTGAATTGCAAAAACTACTTCCTTTGCAGGATAAAAAAAATAAATCCTTATTTTGGCTTTAACACCGGATACAGGACTTTAACTAGTTAATAATCCATTTTCCATGATCCATTCTGAGGATCTTCTACAGCACAAAATAATCATACATGACATAGATTAGCACTTTATCCTGCCGTTATTAGTTCATTTAACTAATTACAAGAATCGATATTGCCATTCTAACCCGTATGTAATTTGAAAAAAAATGTATGGGGTGGTCTTGAGACTTTTGTTTACCTCGTTGTCCAAAAAGCACAGGCGCAAACTTATGAATACAGTGTACATTATACAACACGTAAATACAGACACACTATATATACTGTATACCAACATTAAGTAAAACATTATTGCCCTACCTATGCGTATAAACACACACACTCGTATAAAGCAGCACAGCAAACCTTTAGGTCATGATATAAGAATTCAGGTGCTATGGATACACTCACCCCTGCCATAGGAATGTGGAATTTCCACCACTGCCTCATGCATCTGAACGAGAGAGGAACACCGTCTCAATGCTTATTTGAGCAGCAAACCACTTGGACTCCTTCGTTCACGTTGTTTTTATGTGCTCTGATGCAACCTCTGTGAATGTATAAATCAGCACTAATGACACATGAAAACCAGTTCTAAAATAAATCTACTCAATTTACAGTAAATATATAGAAACCGCTTGACGTATGTCTATGGAAAGGTAGCGTGGACATTTATTTATCCAGGCTTTATTTTTTAAATGTATGCTCCTTTAGTTGATGTTATTCTCTTGTGCATGTATACTCGTGTTTTATTTACAATAGCATTTCAATTATTCTATTCATTTGAACAAATTGGCAAGTAAAACACACACACATACACGTAATGCGAAGGGCATCAGCGGCAGATGCGTTAAGGGCCCTGCTGATTGAATATAAAGTGGAGCAGGCCCTCGCACGGTCTTAGATACGAGCAACACGATCTTAAATCCCACCCGGCTAGAACGACAGGAAGGCAATGCGACGGTGCAAGACCAGGAGCGGAGATGAATTCTCGCGTGAGCGCCCTGGCTGACGCATCCTGCAGCACCGTCTGTAACGTATGTACGTGTGTGTGTGTTGAACTTGTTTCGCATCGAACATAGCCAATCGTGCTAATCGGAGGTGCGGGGGGAAGGACAACGAACTAAATACAAAAATCAGCTCTAAATAAATTAGTTTTCAATCTAGATGTAAAAAAAGTGCAAACCTCTCGTGGCTTCCTAATATGAAGAGCATCCCAGACACGGCTGCAGACGCGCATCTGAACGTGTCTTTGTTCGATGGCTAGCCAAAAGCCGCTGCGAGGAGAGCCGGAGTTCGCTTGAAGGTTTATGCTCCTTGACGATATCAGCAATGTATTATGGTTCATTTGTGGCAAGCACTTTGCGTGTAATGAGTGCTACCTCATCAGGTACAACCTGCACAAGACCCGTGCTACTCAGAACCCCAAACCACGAGACACTGCGGTAGCCCATCTGCATTTGCATCCCCACCGCTGGATACGCATATCACCAACCATGTTCTTGAGTTTTTGTTCTTCAGTGGCCAATATTAACTATAAAGTGGCAGAAGATGCAAGCCTACATGTCATTTTCACTGTAAAATAAGAACATTTTATTGGGATGTAATAAATTGGACCATTCAGATTCTATCGCGTAAAATATCGTTAATAATATTACACAAGCGCATAAATAATGACAAACACGGGCAGAGGCTAATTGACTATTCAGTGGGACCCGACTTAAATATCTCACCAACACCATACACTCATTTGATATCAGCGGGTGATAGGAAATGAGTTCTCGTATTCTTGCAGCATTCGCTATGAGGGTACGATGATGTGGGATTAAATAATAATAAAAATAATTGCACATGTATTAGGGTATCGTTACCATAATGGTGTAAACCAGTGTAATGGGCTTACATGCTTAGGCTTCGTATTCTGGACAGATATTTCAAGAGCACAAACAAATGTGTTCCACACAGTGTTAATGAAACGCTATTCGGCCTTGAACACCAATTGCTGCAACGATGCATCTATTACTTGGGCTGAATATCAACACGCACAAATTAACTATCAATAAATATTACCGGAGCATATTTTTGTTTGCATGTTCACCACAAGTACGTGGAGTTAATGCGGACATAATGCCTTGCAACATGTTTTGGTGAACATATTAACACCGGTTTATTGCCAGAAAGGGTCAAACCTATTTTTCTTTTAAAATACAAATGAATCGAGTTGGATTGTTTTATTGAAACACTGTTTCCAATCTGTCATTATGCATTCCTGTAGGATTTTGGATGACACAATGTACACGACTGTGGAATTGAATCTGTTGTCATGTATGACCAAAGAGGACTGGCTCAACACTGTAATCATCCTGTCTTATCTCCATGAACTGTAACAACACCTCATGGTCCTTCATTGTACCTCTCTCCTGCGGCCTGATAAGTAGCCTGGGTCAGACTTCCCATCTGTTAATGGGAACCCACATGGCTCAGGGGAGAGGCCATGTTGTTCTATGCGTCTGAATGGGTTAACTTCATCTCCTGGTTAAATAGAGGACACTGACTGACTAAAGGACAAGCAGGGCCACCACCAGTCTTGAGTTTGACCCGGTACATTCCGGGGAATCGGGGTCTATGCTTGGGTGGCAGGAATTGATTTGTACCGAGATCTGGTGCCGGTATTGTGTTGAACTTTATCCCAGGATACTGCACAGTGTTGATTGTAGACCGAGGCGGAATGAGAAATATATTCGGGTTTGATCTACAGTGGGAGAGGCGGTGACCCTGTGGACAGGAGTCATGTAAACATCCTTTTAAGTAACTTGTTTTGATGTATTAATCATGTTTCATGTTTAAAGCAACTTTTATAATGAAAGGCAAGCAAATGTGATCCTGTGATGTCACCAGTCAGTTTAAAACATGAACTAATGGACACAGGTTACACACAACCAGTCTGAACACTGCGTGCACAGCCACACGTGACGTAATTGTACTGTCGTGTTCGATTTCCAAATGTAATCAATTCATATCTAAACATATTGATGGCCATATTTTCTATTTTTAAAAAATGTAGTTTTCTTTATCCCTTTCATACACAAATATTTCAATATTCTACCATTGAATTGCCACTAGATGTCAGGTAGGTACACATTACAATACATTATGGGGAGGATGCTCGTGTTGGTTTCTTGTTGTATTTGACGAAGCTTAGCAGAGAGACCGCTTCCCATCCAAGTATTTGCAAACTTTTAAACGTTCACAACAAAGTTTTCACTTTCCGGACTTGGCTTTTGTGTAAAGGTACAGGAGTCAAGCCTCGCAAAGGACGACTCGGGGCGGTAAGCAAAAGAGGCTCCCTGAACGTAAACATGAAAAAAATAAAAACGGCGTTACAAGTACTGCGGCTGTGCCCGTGACGAGGGCTGTGGGAGGGCGTTGCCGCGTTGCTGCTGCTGGTGCGGGGTCACCCGTTGGGCGCGGGGTCACTAACTGCCACCCGTCCACCACATCGACTCGTGGTGGGCACCTCGCACGCTTGGTTGCTTATATGTTATTTAAATAAAGACATCGTTAACATTTTTTTTATCTTCTCAGCTTTCTTACCTCTGCTTCGTGGTGACGGTATGTGACCAGATTCAATGTGCATTCGTTTAAATTTGATTAAATTGTAATTATTTAGTTATTAATTATTAGTGTACAGCAGTGTTCTTCATTGCAAGGCCCGCAGGCCACAGGCAGCCTCTGGTGGTCTTTAGTGTGGCCCCTGACGTGCAGCCCCCTGACAATACACAAATGTAAAAACACCCCCATCATCATGCTGCTGTCAAACACAATGGTTTCAAATGCGTGGCGGCCCTCACTCTGATGTCTTATCGGCAAAAGTGGTCCCCTTCTGAAAATTAGTGTATAGTTAAAATGGCATCATGATCATCCATGATTGGTATATTGCAGAAGGTCTCTCCACACCATCATTATCCCTCATTAGAATTCAATCCACCCAGCACCTGCACAGGACCCGATGTCATCGCTTCATCATCTGCGTGGTTGAACATCTCGTTTTGCAATGGTGCCCAAAGCATCAATCGACATACACAGCAAACAAACATCATGACACATATAGATATATAACTGTTCAATCAACTGTTGCAACATAGACAGAACAATGCCCCAAGAGAGAGAGTGAAACCTCGGACGGATATCGTTGTGAGCTATCTTCACACAAACACACGCATGCACAAATACACACCCGGTAAGATGAAGCAATCAGTTCGAGTCGAGTAAGAGACTATTGCACATACATATATGCCAGAAGTGCAAATGCAGCGTGGTGTGATGTTGTAAATGACTGGCAGGAACAAACGTGCCACGGGATGATGAAAAGAACGCAGTTGGAAGTGGGTAAGTGGCCAGAGCAAGGGGATTAGTGGGGTGCTCCTCATCTCCTTGTCTCATACGGAGCTGATAATAATTGGCCAATATCAAAGATGAATGAGAAAATTCAAATAGGGTGGGATGAGGCAATTACACTGAGTTAGTTCGGGCACTGCTGCGAGGAGGCCGAGTCGGTCCGTCTGGGAACTGACTGTAAAACAAGACCCTCTTGAGAGGGGATTTGCGGTGCGCGTGGCCCGTGGGAGCTGTTGAGCAGAGGCCTGCTCGCAGCTTAGAGAGGAGGTGAAAATGAGCGTCCCGGCGAGACTTAAGCAAATGTGCTCGGCACGCAGTGGGTCTCACACGGGACAACGTGCAAAGGCACGCCGCTCGCAGCGGAGAGGACGGGCTAGCGACAGGAAGTAAACGCCACCGGGAGCTCACAGAGAGAGGGGGGAGCCACGGAGACTTTTTGGTGGCAAATTGAGAAGGCGGCACAGGGGGCAGAGAAGCCGGGTGCAGGAGGCAGCAGAACACAGCAATGTCCCATGTGCCATTGCTTCCTTCAGACACACAGAGAGTGTGTGTCTCTCTGCTTGTGTGTCTGTCTGTGTGTCTCCGTATCTGTGTTTTGTCTCTCTCTCAAATTTAGCAATCTTTGGAAGAACGTAATCAACCAGGTAGGGTGTTGACTGTTGTGTTACCCGACTCTCTGTGTTGTATTGCATTATATTTCTAAGTTTACTAGGTTTGTTTTCTACCTGATGACGATTGCTTGTGTTGCAATCGAAACGTCGTATTCTATTATTTAATTTATTTTCTTTCTACGTGACTTCACCGAAAGAACCAAAGAGTAATTTTTCAATAGTGTTTACTCAAGGTAAATATTAAGTGAGATGTGTTAATATTTCATGGGGGTGGAGCAGTGGTGCAGCGGTTACCACACTGCGCTCTTACCCTGAGCTCAATTCCTGTCATGCCACTTGTGTTTTTCTTACACTCATGAACTGCGGCATTCGCTATATACACAAACACTTTTCCTATAACTCAAAATCTGATAACCTTTAAAATATTACCCACGTAAATTTATCTTGATTTCGTCTCAAATGCTCTCAGAATGCTATTGCTGGGCATCTTTACAACAACTCCCCTCCCTGCAGCGATGGTGAGAGCTCGGTCTAAACACCGCCTTGACAAGGGCCAGCACTGTGGCTTTCTCATCGCCAATGCTCGCTCGCCGTACAGTCTAGCAATGGGGAGGTTCAGGCCTGGCACCTTCGCCGATTGCTCTTGGTGTTCACAACCACACTCTGCACCCCGTCACCACGAACAAGTGCAGTTTTCACAGCGCCACCGCTCAGCATACCCGTGGACAAACAATAATATGGTGCAGACTCTTTGCTGAGCACAGGCTCAGTGGCCCAAAATCTCAAAGGAGCCAGCAAAATAAAAAAAGTTGTCAATAGATAAGAGAGTGAACATGTTTATTGAATTGAGCAAGGGTATTGTTAGAGCTTCGGAATGGGGTGATGAAGCAATGCAAGGGGAAGAAACAGAAAGAGAAGCATTGTGACCTCCGTGTGGTGGGTGAGTGTTGAGTGAAGGATGAGTGAGTGCGTCTGGTGTTGTGATCTGCTGTGTGGTGGCTGATCACCGTGTGGATGAGATGAAACAGTCAGTGTCTGGTAGACCGAGTCCTCAACATGAGGGAAGAAATCAACGATATTGAAAGCTCACGGGAACGGTAACCGTGGTGATAATGACAGAAGAGTGACGAGGCGGCGACTGATCGCTGGCGAGTAAGCGAGTGACTGGAACAAATCGGTGAGCGCCGGATCACAAATCAACAAATTCAACTGACTGGAAACCGTGGTGCTGTGAACTGAGTGATGCACATGCGGACGCTGCAAGCAGCACACACGTACCAAGGGGAAGCGTGCGGCTGGGCGGAGAGCTGAGGGTGGTGGGCAGGGGCGGTGGCTTGCGTAGGAGGCTGGCGCTGCTGCACTTGAACATGTGCAGTGGTGGGGAGGATGCTGCATTGTCCGGGGACCTGGAACCCTCACCAGATTTGGGTTTGGCCGAGAGGTTTAAGGGCTGAGATGAGTCTTCCTGTAAAACAACAACACACGAACGACGGCATGGCTCATACCACGAAATACAGAATTTAATTTGCAGCAGCAGCATCCACAGTGGAACGTGCTAATTCTAACAGCACAAGGGATATAATACCTACGCACGCACACTGGAACTTATTTGATTGCAGCTGTAATGTCAGTCATCATCGATGATGTTTTGTATATCATCATCAATGCGTCCGATTTGAGGCATGACGAGGCTTTCAGTGCTTGTGTAGAGGACTTGTGGAAGTGTGAAATTACTGTCGTTATGATTACGCTTGTGTACCCAGGAAAGCCGTATTGAGTCTCAAAGACTCTCTTTTAGCAGAGTGCAGCCAAGTTATTTTTTGCAGGAGGGGCCAATATTGCTGCGCATAATCCCAACTGAGTAATTTGCAGGTAATATTTCGGGATTGGGATGTTTGGCCTAAAACGGTCACATTGGGGGTTTTCTCGTAGGTAGCTGTGGGAGGGAAACCATGCAGAACAATGGGAGAAAAATACAAACTCCACTCAAAAAGGCAGCCCAAGTCATGAATTGAGCCCAGGCCCTCATTGCTGTGAGGCACAAGTGTTACCACTGCCGCCACCCTGCGGACCAATATAATAACCTCCAAATTCAGCAATGACAATGTGCGTGACAGTCAGTGGCAATGGCTATGCGATACAATGTTGGCAAGCAAAGGAACCTTGACCGAATCTGAAAAGCCCTGGTATATAGTTACGTATGAATACAATCCATTTCGTTTTGAAGGTTATGCTAAATATACCAAATATTACACAAATCCCTCTTCAGAGGAAAACACATGATCATCAACTGTGATTAGTGGTGTTCATTCTGGTTTATTAATGAAGATTTGTTAGCCAAAACATCCAGTTAATGTATAAACAATGTAATTTGCTTTGTTCTACATTGTTAATGTAGGCATATGGAGTGAAGGGGTGTGTGATCCTGCTTAAGCAAGCGGTGGTCATCACGCCCAGAGCCACGCTCCCAGCTGGATTTAACCTGTGGTCACTCTCCACTAAGCAATAGCCAACACAGTCACCCTGCTCGGGTTACAGCTGGCCACGTGCCAGCGGCAGAGCGGATGGCTCCCAATCGGAAGATTTCCAGTTCGAATCCTGGTTGGGAGTCAACTAAGCCCATCTTCCCTCCAGGGTCGATAAAACGAGCACCACTTTGTGGGGAAGATCAATAGTGGTTCACACTGCCACTGCCACAGACATGTCGAATTTCCACCACTGGCTTAGGGCTGTAAACGGGAGATGAGCACCGCCTCAATGCTCATTTGAGCAGCAGGACATCACTTTGACTGTTGACAAGGATTAAATGCCTGGACTTGGCAACTTTCCGATTGCACGTTTCAAGCAACCGCAGCGGCACCTGGCTGAGTACAAACACAAGGCCGTGTAAGAAATTGAAAAACAGTTGATTTATTTCAGATTCATAAATTGAAACTATTAATTCCAAACATTTTAGTTATCAAGTATTATTACACTTGCAAATGAGTATTGCCTATGCTCCAGACACACTGACATTTTTTAAAAACTAAATTCAGAAAAACGTGCCCTCACGGTGGGCGCGCCTGCGCAGGTGTGGTGAGCTACCTTGGGTTTGGGAGGCGGGCTGCCCTTGGGCTTGTCGTGGAGTTGCGGGTGCCCAGACGGAGAGCCGGGCAGGCCTGACGGCGGCACCCCGTGCAGCTTGGCACCCGGGGAGAGCTGCAGGGCTGCCAACTGGGCCGCGTACAACTGCTGTGTGAGGGACAGATGGATGTCAGGGGTTCAGCGTGATAATGAAGCATTGTTCTTGGGTGGCGTTCACTGGCACGTCAACACGCAGCACATTGCTGCACTTTGCTGGGGAGAGCTGATGGCGCAACAGCAGCAGGTGAAGCAGCCAGCTCGGGGTTAGAGGGGCAGCCTCAAGGGAGGGGATAGGCAGCTAGGAGATCCTGGGGGCCCCGGGGCGTGATGCTGCAGGTTGATCTCAGTGTTTGTAATTGCAAGTTTATTTTATTTTATTTGTGTAGGTCTTGATTTAGTATTTAAATGAAAAAATAAATAGCGAAATAAAGCCCCACGTGAGATGCATTATCGCTGTGAAATAACCTCAGGACTCCACCTTAGTCCAAAGCAGATGCTGCAGGTGGATGGGAGATTATCTACATAATTTATACGTCTTTCCGACATTCCAAAACAACAAACGCACCGGAACATTACACTCTCCCCAAGAATTGCTCATGTGCTGGACTGCGCAAGAAGAGTTCACAGCAGTTATTAACAATGCAGAAGGTGAGGGTCACGGTGCGAGGGGAGTGCTGATGTCCCTTTGACCCATACAAGTTAATTCTCGTTTAGCAAGTGAATCCCTGCTATTGTGCCACCCACCACACAACACATTTTCTGCCACCACCTCCCCCCATCCCCCATTCTGAGAGGAGCCAGAACCCAGCCTGGAAAATAACGTGGATGATGTGTGCCCTGCCCGTGCAGCAGAAAAGGAACGGCACCACTGCTGGAAGTGTGACCGGCGAGGCTTTGCATGGCGACGTGTCAGTGTGTGTGTGCACCAGGGCAGTGCCCACAGCAGATTTACAACACATGTGTACTCTGTGTCTCTTGGTGACCAATAGCGGATAAGAGGAGTTGAGCACATGTACAACGTGCATCTCACATTGACCAATAGCGGATAAGATAATTTGAACACACGTACACCGTGTATCTCACATTGACCAATAGCGGATAAGATAATTTGAACACACGTACACCGTGTATCTCACGTTGACCAATAGCGGATAAGAGTTTAGTCCACGGACATCATGTATCTCACGTTGACCAATAGCGGATACGATGAGTTACAAAATTAAAAGAGGATCTTCCTGCTATCGCTTTGTTTTTTTATAAAGAAGGGATGTCGTGTGTTTAATTACATTATCACGTAACACATGCGCATTGAGCAAATGCCACTTTACAAATGCAGTGTAAGACGTTATATTGCTATAACCAGATAAAATCTTTAATTTGTTGGTCACAAACGATGTGTAGCGATATACCAAACTACGCTGTGTGCACTCCCGCATCGTTCTGCTTTGTGGGCACGTGTGGTGTATGGTATGTGCATTCAGATCCACTATAAATACAACCGTACAATCTATGTAATCAATCACATTTTAAGGGGTTATTTTAAATAATGACCATTTACATTTTTCCCATTCTCATGAAAGCGATTTCACCATGTGGTTCCAGTTTTAAAAGCCAATCTTCAATTATCAAAAACACAACAACAAAAAAGTTGTAAACATTTTTCTCTATGTACACTACATTTGGAAACGTTGCATTGCATCCGTGAGTCTTTTCCCACTCACATTTCCGTTTCTCAAAGAATATCTTTGTAAATGTTTGAGTTTGCCGCAACTCAATCTGCCCGCGTTGATGATGCAGCAGTAGCAGCATCCACCGCTTCACCAGCCGCAGCGATGGCTCTGGCTTGCACCATGCTCAGTGCAACCTCAGAAAACAGCTCGGCCCTAACAAAGCACTCCTACTGTCTTGCCTCACGGCAGATGTGGAGCGTACGTTCACAGGAAGTTCCTGTTTTTTATGCTAATTTTGGTCACGTGACCAGGAAGTGACGATTTTAGATTTTCAGTGAACCACGCGGGCTTCTGCCATCTTACTGATAATTCAAGATGGCGGCACGCATCGCATCTCAGTGAGACCACAGCCGCACTTGTCCATTGTGGGAGCTTAAGAAGCATTGTCTGTAAGTTGTTTATATTCCTATATTATTGGCAATGCTGTTGTAATGTTGGAATGACCGTTATAATGATGTAAATGCCTTTATGGTGCCGTTAAGTTGTTGTAGTAAATACGAGGCCTAGTTAGTAACGAAGCCTGCGACTTTCCTTATTGTGGATGTTACTTGTGATTTAGTAGGTCGAGTCAGACTTGTGCCTATGTTGCGATCCTGAGAGTAAAGATGACGAAGCATCTCATCCACAGTTTAGTGTTATGTGTAATGCTGTACATTTGGGGTGCAGTGGGATGAATACACGATGTGCCTGTATGCAACGCACCGGTTTGTGCTCTTGTCTAGGCCTGGTCCGTCCAGGATCTATTGTTATCTAAGACAATGTTCTGATGCTGTGGTGTTCATTGTGTTGGTGTTTCCGGATTATAACAGATGCTGTATCTGTGTTTTCTCACCAGTTTTACCTTGTTACAATCAATAAATGATGATTGAAGTTGGACGTTCATCCTGGCTCCGAGGGTTTATTGAACGCAAGGTTATCTACTCGACTAGCGGTGCAACGCAGCGCACAGCGAGGCCGAGATACCTACAAAGACACTGTTCTAAGGTGCGTGAGGATGATAAATTGTAAAATTAATTATTATAAATTGGGGTGGTCTTACCATCTACAATAGTTCACAACCACCACCACACACTGCAGGCCACCAATAGCACAACCACACTCCAAACCACCATCACCACCACCACATGATCCAAGCCACCAACACACTCCAGGCCACCACACGACAAGCCACCACCACCACACACACTACAAGCCACCACCCTCACACTCCAAGCCACTACACGACACCACCACCTCTAAGCCACCACCATACACACTACAAACCATCACCACCACCACACTCCAAGCCATCACCACCACCACCACCACACTAAAAGCCACCACTACCACACTCTAAGCCATCACCACCACCACACGCCAAGCCACAAAGCGATTACCTCTGCAAGTTTTAAAATAAAACAACCAAACCGAATGTTGAAGGCACTATGTATTTCACAAGAAACGTATGTAAATAAAATATAAGTTTGCCGTATGATTATACTCCTCTTGTTGTCTCTGTAAACCGTTGGCCAGTGGTTTCTTCTGCATATTACTTTCTAGTATGGATTATTTTTACACTGAAAGCATTAGCTCTGAAAAAATCCAACAACTTATAATATACATTTACGATTTATTAAAAAAATAATACGCAAACTAAAACGTCCATCACATTTCAAATTCTCTCAAATTCAGCCAAATAAGGCATCTACTTTCATTTCCATCTCAGTCACTTCATACGTACGGATTGCCATATGAAACAGCCCGTTGGCTGGCACGGAGCATGGCAATAATCATTCAGTCTTTAAATATACACCTTATGGCAATGAGACAAAATAGCATCTGTGGTAACTTGCGTGTAATGAGAAGAGGGCGACAGCAATCGCCTACAGCAATCCTTGTAAGGTAACTTCCCACACTGATATTGCTGCGTGTTGTTTGTACTTCCTCAGATCAAACATCTGTCTTCTCTCGGCATTAATCAACATCGACAAGACAAATCGTTTCTGTGTTATTGTTTTCCATATTTCATGGTCCTTTTCATTTTGAATGCCCGGCCCTGGCCCATACCAGCCTCACCCCCTCGTCCTCTCCCCACCGTCGCAAGAACAACAAAAAAAACGCCCAACGCTCAGCGTATGCTGAAGGAACAGTCGAGCGTTTCTGAGTCTCCGACTCGCTCTTAAAAGGCGCAGTATTTGACGAGCGCCAACTGCTTGTAGCGCTCTTTCTACCCACAATACCACCGGCTCACAACATCCCGCATCACAGATTATCACGGTTGGCTACGTACGGTACAAAAAAAGTTAAACATACATGCATACACTGCGGTAAACGTCATCTCTTCACCAGTGTTTTTATACGGGGTGGGGTCGGGTGAGAGGTTGACGTGGGGTAAAAGGCCTTTTCTGTCTTGGTGCGAACGGAAATGACATCAGTGATGATGAGGATGAGGAGGGCACCTGCGGCTGCTCTAGAGGGGGGCACCAGCCTAGAGGAGGACACCTGCTGCCACTACTGCTGCTGCCGCTGGTTACTAAAGGTCCACAGATGAACCACGCATGGCAATTGTCTTCAACTGGCTCTGTGGCTGCCCGGGCACACTTCAATTGGCTAAGGAGTAGTTTGTTGTTTATGTACGGTGTGAAAGAAGTTCAACATGCGTACATACACATCAAAGTGAATGGCCATAAACAGCCAGTAACTCTCCAATTGGCTGCCGAGTAGAAAGTGGGTGCCGAGGAAACGCAAAGAGGCAGTGACGTTGGCACGGGGCACTCTTTCTCTTCTACTCTCAACTTCGCGCTTCATCTTCCTACGCGGTGTTCCGTCTCTTTGGGGTGAAATAAATAAACCTGCAAAGACTACCTGCACATGCTGATGTCTTCTCTTCATATATATTCATATAAATTTGAGTCCGTTTAAAAAACTTAAAGGTGCAGAATATTCTACAGTTAGTTTTCAAATGCCAGAAACGTTACAGACATAATTCTGAGTAAGGCAGTCAGGTTGATTAATGATCCAGAATCACTGATGTATTCCAGTCACTCGCTCACCAGCGGTCAGCTTGTGACCTTCAGTGGTTGATTATTCTTGAAACAATGAACTCAACAATTTACTGAACCATAGTTTATGCTTCCTTTAACAACACACCATAGCCAACACTACACCGATATCATCAATCCTTTCCCGCATCACACCGCATCCAGGAGGCCCACACATTGTTCAACATGGGCATCAATTACAAATCGCTTACCCGATTATCATCCCACAGCCACTTGTGAGAAGTTAGTCAACATGGCCCACTTGAGCCACTCGCAGTCGAGGACACTCGTCAACGCGCGCACAGAGTGCACTGCCTTGGACACCAACTCACGGCGATCATGCTGACAATAGTCACAAGGAGGGATTTATTAAATGATTACCAACACCTAGGCGTAGGAATGTGAGACGTACGCACAACTGGCCTTTTGTAAGGTTGTAATAAAGTACAATGCCTCATTAATGCCAGTGCCATGTTTGTTATGTTCAGGTATTAACGTGCAAATAGTTAGTTTATAATTATTGGAGTGTGCATGCAGAGCACAACAACAACAATGCACCAGGGCTCAGTTCTCTCCAGACTTATGCTCCTGCAAAGCTGCTCAAATTTCAGTTGAGCCATCTGCTGGCAGAAATCTTGATGATGCCACTAACATTGAATTACAATGAATCAGGTTAACGCCTGTGCATTCCACCTGAAGCTGAGGGGTCTGGGGTGGAGTATAGTGTCTTCTCAGAGCAGAGCCGTGCGATACAGCTAGTTAGAGTTCACATCTTGCTTTTGAGTTGTATATGTCGGGAGTTGTAGATGTTGGGAGTCGTAAATGTTGGGAGTTGTATATGTCGGGAGTCGTAGATGTTGGGAGTCGTAGATGTTGGGAGTCGTAGATGTTGGGAGTTATTCTAGGGAGTGATGGTCTGTGGGTCTGGGCCAGCCGCGTGCTCTGTGAATATTTGTCTTTGACTGTCCACCATGTGAGGTGCTCGGGGGATCTGCCTGTTGCCGATCTGGCGGCACCATGGACTGGTAGAATCATTATATTACTGCCGCCTCCTGGGAGGGGACTCTGGCCTGGAGTAAGGATCTGAGGGATCGTCCAGGGCTGCTGCTATGGCCACCAGTGTGCTCATTCCCTGGACTCAGGACTAGTTTAGCCAGGTAGCCTGGACTTTGTGTAGTGTCTCTGTGGTGTTCTATCTAGTTCATGTTGCGTCTCTGTGGTGTTCTGTCTAGTTCGTGTTGTGTCCCTGTGTTGTCTCTCTATGTTGAGTCTCTGTGGCATTCTCTGTGGGTTGTGTCTCTGTGGTGTTCTCTCTGTGTTGTGTCCCTGTGGTGTTCTTACGAGTTCGTGTCGCCGCCCGTGACAAAAGGCCTTTACTCATCCCATTGCCGATGATTGGCTTCTGGTTTAGTGAGGAATGGTGCATCACACATTCCTCCTGGAAAAATCGAGGTCGATTAATGACCTTGTTGAATTTAGCAAAATAATACGTTTCTGGAAATTTTACACCAATGGACTTTCTGGACAAGTTAGAATAATCGTAATGAATAAATAAACCAACCCTGTGTTTTTTAAATTGAGACCAAGGTATATAAAGACATAAAAAATTATATACGACCCGTTGTCAATTAACTACGATAAGAAGGCCTTTACCATGCGGTGCCGATCAAGGTGGTTATTTGACCAGACTTCACGCTGATCAATGGCCAAGTGTGGGTTGGTGAAGGGCATACATGGGGCTGTTTCTGATATTGAAACTACACTATAAACTATTTTTATTTTACCAGGTAAGGCCCACTGAGCTATATAGCTCTTTTTTTCGAAGCGACCTGGGCACACATGATAGCTCAACGAAGTGGCTTATCATGTGGAAATTAAGAGCAGCCAAAAACTTTCAACGCATGTTTCTAAGTGTGGAGAAAAAAACTGGAGGACGCAGAGAAAAATCCACGCGACCACGAGGAGAAAGACACGCAAACTCCAAATATACAGTTGTCAGGGTCGGGATTTAACCCATGGCCTCCTGTATACCAGGTGAGGTAGTTAACATTTCGCCACCGGGCCGATATATAACTTTGCTCTGATGTTAACCATGCCCAGGGACTTAACTCAAGTTGCCAGGTCGAAAGCACAGCGTGCTAACCACTGTGCTGTCAGTTTTGGTTAGAAGGACATGCCCAGGATATAAAATGTGACTGATGTTAGCCCTGGTCAGACATCAAACTTGGGTTGACAGCTCCATAGTGCACTGTGTGGATCCCTGTGCCACCGACTATCCTGATTGCATCTCCACTCCAGAAAGCGACGGAATAATTTCTACCAGAATTTTCCCATGCTCAGAAACAGTGACGATGATCATGTTGTGTAAAACACAACAAGTAAATAGATGACACGTGGAGGTGTTTTCAAAAGGCGCAGCTCTGTGTGCGCGTGCTTTACAAGCGTGCCTCCACGCTCGACACCACCCGCACTGCGGTGCATGCACTCCCTCCTCTCTCCCACGTTGCGATCCATGCCGACACTCGTCCGTGCAGCTTTACATTCAACGCTTTCACGGCGCGCACCGTCCACCTCACATCAATCACCTCGACTCCAACCTTTAACCTCTATTCTTACAACTTCACTCCCTCTCCACCACACGCACCATACCTGACCCTCTCTTTACACTTTTCCTCACCCGTTTGGCAATTCCACACCTCCGCCACCTCTTCCCCCAAATCCCGCTTGCACATCGCATCGTCACCCGTGCCACACCAGCTTCCCACGTCACGCGTTCGTTCATTCCGCCCACCTTTCATTGTCTTCGCGGTTGCTTGGAGGGCAAAATACGTGAATTAGAAACTATGAAGTGTGCACGTTTACCACTCTCAATGCGTGTAATAACTTCGTTCGGATGTAAATGTTGCCAAACAGCTGCAAGCTTAACACGTGAAGGTGTTCTGTCTGCTGCAGCTAATAATGGCTAACGCTGCGTGAAGTTACGCAGGTTTCACCGCATTGCCAGGAGTCGGTCCCTAGCTGTGAAAACACGACAAGTCGTTTTTTCGGTGACAATGCTGGATTTGAGACTCATTTTTAGAGAGTTCAATGCAACGTCTCACTGCTCTGAGCCAGCCCGAATTGTGCGCAGCCTCTCTTTTCAGATGCCCTGCCCGCTTGAGTAACCTCGTTAGGGAGCGTGACCTTTGCAGAGGAGAGGACTGCTGCATTCCTGTTGTTACCGAGGTTCGGAGGTCGGATGACGATGGATGTGGTTGAGGTGCTGATGGTGCTGCTCTTAAATGTACAATGTTGGTGTGTTGCATGGGCAGGTCCCTCCGATAACGAAATTCAGGGTGACAGAGGAAGGTTACCATGCAAGAACTCCGCGTGTGCGTATATTTTTGACAAATGGGTAGGATCTGAATACGGTCCAGTCAGAGTAAAGCTGTGGCAAGAAGGGAGACTGAGACTGTCGACTGGAGGACAGAATCCTAGGGCAACCAATCGAGTGAGAGATCGTGAGAAGTGGGAGTGTGCGGATCGGAGGGATCTGTGGGCGCCTGGGCTACACGAGGCGGAATCAAAACGTAGTTCCGGAGAGTGCCTAGGATGGGGCTGAAGGCTACAGCAGAAGCAGCCAATAGCGCAGTGGAGACAATTACACGGAAGTTATCATGAGGTAGCACAAGAAAGCACAGGAAAGTGATACAGTGTATTCTTGCAGTGATGACAGGAGTGATATAAACGAGTGTTTCGGCCCGAGACGCAGACGTCCTTGGAAATTCAATGTGATGGTGATTAATGGAGTTGTGCGGAAGTTATTGCATTGATAGAGTATTCGAGTAAATTATATAATTACAATTGCAACATATATATCGGTCAGTGAAGTCCGATACAAATTTCCATGGCCATTAGAAATAAGACCCAATTCCGTGGATTAAGCCCATTCTACCGTGTCCCCCTCCACCCTCCAGAACAAGATGAAGTGATAGAATTAAGACAAAGTTTAACTAGGTTCAATGAGGCTGGAGTTATTTTACATTATCATCGGTTAAAATATGTTATTTCTGTAATTTTCAGCTGTGTGTTTGAAACACTCGTTGCTGTGAGAACTTGTGCTGAACCCACGTTCCAGGTACAGTCGTCCCTCGGTTAATCGTAATATCGGTTAACGGTTTTAGGTTAATGTTTCGCCTCCCATAGGACCCCGTGGTTTCGACTTAACGTTAACATTTTCATTCACGGTATGTTTATATTGTGTGCGCGGGTGCCAATTTCGGCCAATCTGAGTGCTCGTAAGTGGGATGAGCATGCCTAAGCCAATCAGCGACACCCATTTATGGCCATTTAGACCTCAACTGGCTTTGTTTACATGTTTTCTGTTTTGGCAGTGGAAACAGCTCACTTATTTTTCAACTTACAAGTGAATTCGATTAACGGTTATTTCGGTTAACAGTAGTTTTGGTGGAATTAATTAAAAACATTAACCGAGGGACTACTGTATGCAAGCTTAGCCGGCCTGCTTCCTCGTGGCTGTGGGAACACGGTAAGAAGAGACCCTTGAGATGCCTACTGGACGTGGGCTCTGCTGTGCAATGGCCTCGATGGTGTGGCTGGGCTAAAATTGTATTGCAGTTGATGTACGTGAAGAGCAATACAATTGTGTCTCTTGACTTAATACTGATGAATTCAGTCAGGTTGAACAAATTGTAATTACCAGCAAAACGTAGTACTCGAATTGTAAATGTTGCGGGTTTACTCTCCAACACACCGGTGTGCTGAATTAGAAACAAATTTGCATGTTTGTTTACATGACAAACCTTACTAATTGGCTGTGT